TATATATATATATATATATATATATATATATATATATATATCAGATAGCACACAATATTCTAAGAATGTCACAATATTCTAAGAACTTTAGGACATAATTTTGACGTAGGAACATCCTTAGAATGTCTATAGGACGTTCTTAGAGATCTGTACAATGTGGATATATAAGTAAATAGTCAAGGTTTGAATTAGAAAAAAGTAAAAAAAAAACTGAAAGAGATGGTGATAATAAACAGAGAGAAATTATACCTGTTGATAAAACCAGTACTTTTATTTTTCATTGGATATATATGGACTATATTTATATAAATATGACTGGATAGGTAAAATATTTGGGAATGAAAGTTAATGGATTCATAGAATTTATGAATTGGAAAAAAACAAATTCTCAGTCAGGAAATGTTTTTCAAGGTATAAATTATAGTTTTTTTTAAATCTTTTACTAACTTTTATTTATTAACTGCAATGTAAAACCCTGCACTTATATATAACATTTTGTTTCGCTTCTTTCTTGAATTATTCCTTATACCATATATGTATTTCTGAATATATACTCTCTACATCTGAAACAGTGAGACACTGATTTTCAGTGCTAAATATGCCATAATACTGACATTCAATGCCACTGACATACGTAGCACTTACTTGGTATCTTTCACTGTTCCAGATATAGAAAGTATGTATATAAAGTTATAATTAATATTTAATTTCCTTTTATTAATAGAAATATGGTCTGCACACTTTTGAAATGATTATATTTCTATTAATAACATTACAAAAATATTACCGAAAATATTTTACCTTTCTCTTTTCCCTTATTTCTTATTTTCTCTAAAGTATTTTTTTCGTCATATTCACTTGTTGTCATCTCCATCTCCTCTTCTGATCTCGAAAGGTCTATTTAAAAATGTTAAATGTATACACACTTAAATATATGTTTCGTTTTATAATATTCTTTACAACATTGCCAATCGAAAATATAGATACCTTTTCCATTTAACTTTCCTTTGTTTGTTACTATCAATCTATTTTCCATTTCCTCTTCTGTATCAATAACATAGTAAAACTACATTTTGTATAATTTTCAAAACAAAATTATGCTGCTAAGCAAGTAATGAGTTATGTATTTTTTACTTAAATGTTTACTTAAATGTTTCGATTGAAATGTTTATTAAGAACATACTTCTAATCTCTTCATAGCAATCATTGCATCCTATACTTCTTTGTCCCTTATTTGAATCTGCAATCAGATGTTAATCCATAATTATGTATTTAAACATTGATTGATGTTAGTTAACATAATAATAAATATTATATTATAAAGTACTTACTTATTATATTATAAAGTACTTACTTTCTGATAAAGTGGTACCAATGCCTTCACTTGTATTAGTAGTTATCATCTCTTCTTCAATATCAATAGGATCTGAAAAGCGGATTTGATAATGTGTTTATAATAAGATTTTAATATCAATAAGAAATATATATACAACATATACTCTATTGTTAATAATCCTAGTAAACAATCTGTGCACAGATTGCTGTCAGATTGGCGATAAGATCTGTCAGATTCAAACAGGATCTCTCGACAGATCCACAGACATCTGCATCCTCAACATGCTGTCAGACTACTGACAGAACTGGTTAACAGACTCTGACAGCATTGCTCTTCACACAGCATAGCCTGCTCGGTTTCTACCACCAATCTGCTGTCAGAGTTTGTCAGATCACTACAGATTCTGTGTACAATCTTTCAATCTTACAATCTTTACGATCGTCAAAGTTTGTCGACAGGCACTGCACATAATCTGCTGCCAACTTACCATTAGAATTTATATTAACAGATTCTGTGTACAATCTGTTGCCTTCCTGTCAACAGATTCTGCTAACAGGCTTTATGCAGAATCTGTTTAGGCAGGTTTAGTTATTTAAGAATATTACTATATATATCCTAATAGCACAGATATCTAGGATACATACTGAGAACGTTCTAAGGACATTCTTACATACTCAGAATATCCTTGGGATGTTTTCAGGAGATCATGTGCTCTTAGGGCAATTATTAGTTAATTTTTATATGAAAGAAGAACTCCATTTTAGCAAAGAATTCATTTTATACATGAAAATGAAATCATAAATACTGATGTACACCTGAACTCTTTCTGAGTTATAAACTCTGTGCAATCTAGTTAGTATAAAAAAACTACTTGCCTGGTAACAATAACGTTGGTACAGCATATGCACTCAACCTTGTCCGTAGTTTGAAGTTCTCTTCAAAATGATCCTCACATACTGTCCTTTTTACAATTTTATTATATGGGATGGTAATCAATGTTGGATTTCCACTGGCTGCTATCCATTTTAAATATCGTCTTCTATCCTTCATCGGATTTGGAAACGCGAACATTCTTTTCCCTCGTCCTCCATAGTTTAAAATTGCATACTTTTTGTGGCTCATACTAAAACAAATTTTAAAACTTCGTATGTCAAAATTAATATATATTTTATAAAATTGTATTATTAAATATATATATATATATATATATATATATATATATATATATATATATATAT